ATGAATTCATTGTTACTTGATAACACTTGTTGATGCAATTTTCAATTTGCAATTTACAAAAAAACAATCAAAAAAAAATGAAATCTTACACTCACACCATCGAATCAGATAAAATCAAAAAGGGAAGTTATCTTCTCATCAATGGAAATCCTTGCAAAATATTGACTTGTTTTTTTCAAAAAACAGGAAGACACGGAACCAAAAAAGCATATTTATGCGGAGTTGATATTTTCACTGGAGATACATATGAAACAATTCAATTAGCAAAAACAACACAGTATGTGCCGGTTGTGGAGAAGAAAAATTATAAATTTGAAAGTTTATATTCGGAGGAGGAATGGCATTACGTGAAAGTTTCGAATAATGAAGGAGAAATTGTGGAATTTATGGTGAAGAATGATAAAATTGTGGAAATATTAATGACTGGCTGTGAATCGAATATGGAATTTTATGTAAATACTATTTGTGGTATGGGAATTGAAGAGGTGACGAGTGTGGAAACTAGACTAATCTCACAAGAATCTCAACAAATTCAACCTAATGAATAACAAGGTATACAACAGCACCTTATTTTTAGAAATCAACCTTTAAGTTGGAATTTAAACTAATAATTGCTTATGCAAAACATATTGTTATGGAAACTCATTTGTTGCAAGCTCATGCCAATTTTATTCCTTTCCATTGAAAGAGGAATTATAATTATTCAGTGAATGACCTCTGGATATTTCTCAAGATTTCAAAATCTCGAATACACCATAAAACAGCAAACAATGAATAGAGTATCGACTATGTATTGCTTACGTCCTACCTATATACTTTTCATCATAGGAGACAATGTAGGTGATGTGAAATTTAATGAAAAACAGAAAAATCCAAATCTTGACAAGACGAAATAATTGATATGGTACATCTACAATAATACTAATAAAAGTTTATTAATGTTTCAAGATGATTGGCTGTGTACTTTTGGCATGGATCATGATTGGTGACCATGAATAACCCGAAGTTGACAAAAACACAAAATGATGAAAATCTGATAATAAATATATTGTTATTATGTATTTGAATAGTAGTGATAAAGACATTTTTCAAGTTGGTGAAGTACATGTTGAGATATGGTTCAAGTACATTTTGAAAATATACATGTACCTATCATGATGATAATCAATAGGGAAATGTTCGGAAGTGATTTTACCTGATGAAATCGACCATGCTGAGCAATACTAGATTGAAAGTTTTCCAAATTATCATATAAATCTGGCAGTGATGATGATTTTAGTATTGAATTTCACTAATATATTACTATTATAAGATTTATAGTCCACAAATATTACTATTATAATGATGATAAATAACAATGATGATGGTTGGTAGTTGTTCCGATGATGATGTACCAACTTGAATTTTTCCGAATAATAAAATTATTTCCAAATCATGATGAAGGATTAAATTCCAAAAATTACTGTTAATACTATTATTTAAATGATGATGAGATGATGTGGTGAAATTCTTGGAGTTAATACATGTGAAATTACACCAAGAATCAACACAGGCATGATATACCTGATGTTGATCTAATATTTTTAAGAAATATTTCCATGTCCTTTAATAACCTCAAAAAAGGTAAGTGGTGAAAATTGGAATGGCTACTGTGTGATTAATATTGGCGCATAACATCATTATTAAAAATATGCTTGTCTTATTGAGCTGTCTATTGATTCTCAAGGTTGTAAATCACAATCTGGAATACCTTCTTTCAATGCTCCAAGATTTAATTCATTTACTCCTAAATTGCCAATCAATTCACAGAGGGTTTCCTTAATAATTTACAATTATTCTCATAATGCCACATCATATTATGAAACGCTTGTTTGTAAAAACGCCAACAATCTTTGTTCGGAGTTTGAAAAGCAACGGAGCGAAAAATAGTTGAAACTCCACTGCACATTTGAAGTGCACATTATTTTCACTCATGAGTGCGTATTATTAATCAGATCCATTGATTACAAAGTGCATATTCACTTTTGATTCTTTTCTTATGGGGAATATTTGGGAGCGTGCCATTAAAATGCGGAGTCAAATGTCCAAATTAATTAACACTTCTAAAATGGACATAGTAAGGAGAACTCCACAAAGTTGTCCTTACTCATTCTATTCTTGTGTCCTTCTTAACAGCATTATCACACTCTTCATTCACTATAAATATCGCCACGATCAAACACAACTCATTCCACACACACTTAAAAAATGTCTGAAAAGCAAGATAAACAAGAATCTCGTGCAATGACTAGCATTGGAAGCGATGTTGGATGGGCTACCTTTAAAACCAATCATTTGGTTTTGTACTTTATCATTTTAACATTGTGTTGTGTTGGATTGTTTGTGTCAAATTGTGTTCAAGGAGTTTTCTTTAAGAAAATGGCTGATGACATGCCAAGTGGACCTTATTTCATTTTGGTCACTTGTTCTGCTAGTTTTGTGGTTGTATTTGGAGTTTGTTTGGTTGTGAGAGATGTTTATGAGAAATATTTGGAAGTACATATAAATGCTTTTATTGGAAAAGTTTACAAAAAGTTCTTGATGAGAAGAAAGGCACTTCGTAATGGTAAACATCAAGAGAATAGTTCATTGTTGAAGGGTGATTCTGTTTCCTCTGGATTGGATCAATCAAACTCTTCACTTAATGCTTTGGAAAATGAACAAGAATCGAATGACGTTGAAGAAATTGAGAAGAAACCAGTCAAGAGAGGAAGACTTTCCCATCGGTCTCTCTTCGTTATTGGTGCCTTGGATTCCATGAATGGTTTACTCGTCTTGTTTGCTGCACATGCCACGCCAGCTGCTTTGCAACCTATCCTGTCACAAAGTGCTGTGCCAATGACATTTGTCATGGCTTATATTTTGATTCACTTACCAATCATGTTGAAAAAGAGACCATTTTCTGAGAATAAGTCTTATTGGAAACATACCTTGAAATTCTTTTCGTTGGAATTGCTTGCTGCATTGATTGTTTTGGCAGGTGTCATTGTCACCTTAATTCCAGTTTTCATCAAAATTGCCAATGATCCAAAATCAATGGACGGTTCAGTTTTCTGGTCCTTGATCTTTTTAGTAGGTATTATTCCTGGCTCCTTAATGTCAGTCGTCCAAGAACTCTATTCGAAACAACATCAAAAACTTGATTATTTGCATTTACTCTTGTGGGTCAGCATTTATCAGATTGTAGTCGATGCTAGTTCATTCTGGTTCAATATGGTTGTTCCAGGTGTTGGCATTCACAACTTGAGCGATTTAGGTAACATGTTCGATCGTGGTTTCGGTTGTCTCTTCAATCAAAATCAAACATCTCCAATCGGAAACTATACTAATCTCAATCAAACCTTCCAATTTTCCAACTATTCCTCTTCCAACACCACCCAACCAACCTCCCTCGATGGCTGTGGCATGGCCAGCTTGGACACTTTCGTATTCATCATGGGATACGTCGGCACCTACGCTTTCACTGCAATTCTATTGAAAATGACTTCGAGCATTACCTTGATTTTGATTAATTCATTTGTGGCACCGGCAACTGATATTTTGTTCTTTATTTTGGGGATGGATGAGTTTAGTTGGTATACTGGTGGAGCTATTGTTATCATAACTGTTGGAGTGTTGATTCAGATAGGTTCGGATTATTTTAAGGAGAAATCGGCAAAGTTGTTGGAAAGTAAGGAAGAAAGTGAGAAGGAAATGATTTTATGAAGGATGGTATTGGATTGTAAATGTGTAATAAAGAGTTCTTTTATCAATGAAAATTGTTGGTTACGAAAATCACGTCAACTGTCATTGTGTGAATAATAATTGATTTTCAAAAGACAAAAAAAATCAACAACGTGATGATCAAATACTCACTTTAATTCCTTCATCAAATTTCATCAAATACAAAAATACACATCAACAAATAACTTCACTTGTCAAAAATGTCATTTGAAGAATTAAAAACCATCGAAAAGATGGCTCCCTCCAAAAAATTGAAATTAGATTCTGATGAAATTCCCTCCGATCCATACAAACTCTACAAGGACAGTTTCAAAAAGAAAGGTCAATCCAAATATTCACTTTACAAATCTTACAATTTAGGAATGTTGTGGTGTTCACTCAGTTTTGCATTATTTGCTTTAGATGCTGTTAATCCTTCACAATACGTAACTGTGAGAATTAATTCAACACAAGAGGAAATGGAGCATTTTGATTATATTTTCAATTTTTCAATGAGAATTGCACATTTGGTAACTTTTGGAGTTGCATTTCTGTTTGGATTAATTTTGCTAGCTTGGTATTCATTGATTAGAAAGAGTATTTATACAGGAGTGCATTATACGTTGCATTTTGGAACTCTGGTTGGATTGGGAATGGCTGTCTTGATGGAATATGTTTGCATTTTGGTATTTTACTTTTCCTTGTCTGATTTTACAAAATTTTCAGAAGTTTCACAAACAATTTATGTGTTTAGAGCCATGTATGGTGTTGCTTTGGCCATTCACGAGTTGTGTGCTTATAAATTATTGGCAGAAATGTGTGAAACAGTTGAATCGAGTCCTGGAATCATTATTGGATTTGCTTTGACTTCACATCCGTTCAAGTTTGCTTTCGATAAGATTATTTCACTTCAGGATTGGATTAGTTTGGATCAGGTATTGCAAATATCATTACTTATTGGTGCCTTGATTGTCATTTCAATTGGTTCTTACTGTAGTTTGGAAGTTTATCAATATTTGCAGAATAATCATAATTTGTTGAGATCAAATTTGGCAATTCAAAAGGATATTGACTTTATTGTAAAGAAAGGTTTAGTTAACTCAAAATCTAATGAGAAATTCTCAAGAAAATTCCTAGATGCTGTCACTAGAAATATTCTCTACATTGTCATGATGATATTTGTCTTACTAATGACTTGCTTATTCAGATTTGGAGTTCAGTTGACTCCAATGGAAACTGGTGGCACGTATTGGAGCCAAATTGTTGACTCGAGTAGAAACGATGCAATTTCTCTCGGTCTAGCTATTCAATTTATTATTCTGGTCACCCTACCATTATGTGGAGCTATATTGGATCAAGGAGGTCAATCAAAGGCCTCTAAAAAGACTGCCATTCAATTGAGAGAATTGAAAGAACACAAAAAGACGCTCATTCACAATAAGGCCTTCAACTCAACTTCAACCACAACAACAGCAGAGAAGATTTCAAAATCATTCAGACTCAAATTTAGAGTGGTTTTTCTTTGTATTGGAATGATCGTATCAATTAGTTGCTCCTTCTTTTATGTTACTGAAATTCCAGATGACGTTCCATTGTACGATTTCATTCTCAACGTGGTGACATTCCTATATGCCATTGGTGTTTCAATCTGTACATGCTCGACCTATCTCATTCCAAAATATTACTTTTCCATTAAGAATAAGAGAGAGATTGAGGAAAAGGCGTTGAAATTGAAGAGAAACATGTCAGGAAACGTACCTAAATATCTACATTACTTGTACAGTATTTTCTATGAGCAAACAGAGTTTAGTGGAATTAGATTCATGACTTGGTTTGCAGTTGTTTCAATTGTTAAGGAAGCTGCTCGTGTCTACCACTCGAGTACAAGTTTCAATTATGATTTGATGATTATTACTGCTGTTTTGGTAATTGCCCTTTCATTTGCCATGTTTGGTTTCTTTTTATTACTTTCATATTTTGATTTCAAATACATGGTTCAAAAAAGTAGAAATTCTGATAATAGAATAATTGAAAATCATCAACAAGGAGAAGAAAGTGTAAAAAGTGATGATCCAACAGATGAAAGATTCGATCCTTCACATTTATTCTCAAAACCATCACTTGGAGAACGATTTAGAGATAGAGGAAGATCCTGGATCTTGTATTTAGGTTCAATTCTGACATGGCCAGTTGATTTAATGATGAGTCTTAACTTGTTCTTGTTTGTGGTTTGTGTTTCTGGTGTTCCAACTGTTTTAATTGCAATTTATGAGTCAACTCAACCAAGTACTAGACAAAACTCTCATCCTGTCGAAATTGTTTTTCTTCCATCAATGTTTGCTATTTTCATTTTCACTTATTATTTTGTTTACAAGTCTGCATTTTTGAAATTTGTTGGATTACATATTTTCAAGTGGACTAGAAAGATGTTTGATTTGATTTTTGACAGTGCCTATTCCACAATCAAGGGAATGCCAAATTGTACCTATTCTTTCTTTAAACATGAAACTGAGTTACTAGAATTGAAGAATAAGAGAAGAGACAAACGATCCACTCAATTAGGAGACACCTCACAAGCAGGAAAAGTTTTCGGTAAATTATATGAACTTGCTGAACTGAGAGAAAAGAACAAGAAGGAGGATGATAATGAAATTGAACTCCTCGATAATGGTGATCACAATGTTGATAGTTATTATGTAGCTTACAATGACATTGACCAACCACTACAAAATACTCCATCTCTCAATGAAGATCCAGAATTCAATTCAACTCAATTCGAAGAATTGGAAAGAAAGAAGAATGAATTTATCATTGTTACAGCAAAGGATGATCGAATTTTCCCACACGAGGAAATTCTAATTGAAAAGAACACAGATCGTGTCAATGTTAAAACATTTGAGAACAGAGAAGCCTATGTGGAATATTTGAATTCAAGAGAATTTTTAGACAATTTCAATGATAAGGAATATTCGTTCACTCCAATTACAAACGGAACTGTCTTTGTGAAGAAGAGCAAGTTCAGTAGCATTTACAGAAATGAGAGATACTTGAAATATATTAGAGCTATTAGACCAGGATTGAATTTTATGATGTACATTGTCTTGTACTATTGTGGCTTCTTCTTGATTCCTCAAATTTTCTCATGGTTTCAACTCAAAGGAATGCCAACCATTACCAATCCATATACTTTCTTAATTGTTTCTTGTAATTTCGTTTTTGGATTTTTAATGTTTTATCCATTAATTTGTAAGTTATGATTTTTCTCAATTGACTAAAATTATTTTGGAATTAGCTACTTGGATGGATATTAATCAATCAGTTACAGCCTCTCTAAAGGAATTTATTGTACTATTAGAAGAGACAGAAACGAAATTCAAAGTCTATGATAATGCAGATACCATCTCTTATGATACTAATACTCAAATTAAGATTAATTTATCAAGAAATAAGTGCTACATACTCGATAAGGACTTTGCCATCGTTTGGCACAAGAGAATGAAATATATTCAAAAGATTGTCGATGCCAAAATGGTTTATTTGAAGAATAATTTAATTGTAAGTTAGCTCAATATTCAAATTTTCATATTAATTCAAATACAATAGATTGCTTTCGTCTTAACAAAGGCAGGTTCCGTAGTCTTATCCTTAATTTCCCTCTTTACAAATATTGAATTCACTGCCCAAACCATTCAACCAATGTACATCATCTTGGGATTAGACATTGCTGTATTATTCCTTGTAGTTGACCCTGCAGCAACTTTATATTACTTTTGTTGGAGAAATTGCATTTTAGTGTTTGAGGAAAGAGTTAAAATTCAAGGAGCAATTCAAAATCATGAACAGGATAAGGCAACGACTCAAGCCCTTCCAAAATTATTGCAATCCTTCCAGTATATACAATTTTGGAGTGAGAAAACAAGAATGAGGAATATATTTGGATGTAGATTTGATATTAATGGATTTTTATATGTTGTTATTGATCAGACAATGTATCAGGCATGGTTTTATTCTCTTTTGGCAACTCTTCCACCAGCTATTGTAAAATTAATGATTCAAAAATTATTTACAAACACAGGAAACTTTAAATTGTAATTAAATATTCACCTCAATTTATAGAAGCGTCACCACTTTTCTGTAAACTCAATTAAAAAACAAGGCAAGACAAATGATTCATCTCTAATCACTGCATAATCATTGAAATGTGAAGCAATATATCGACTCGATAATAACACAGCACATGCCAACATTTTCCCACCTCCTTTACAATAATGAATCGATTCAGATGGATCTGTAAGAGATATGTAAATTCCAAATCCACTCGCTTGACCATTCCTTATTGAAAGATCATTTCCTTGACCTGGAATTAATAATCCATTATCAATAATGTTTTGAATATTTGAAGATTCTGTTCCGTGAAGGCCTAGTTCAATACTCTTCATGATGTTAATTCCACTTTTTTCCTTTTTCACTCTTAGTGTTTCAGATTCAATGGTTGACTTGAATCGTTTCAATAATTTTTGATTTGTTATGTTTGTAATTTTTACAATTTGAATTTCTACTGGGAAATACTTGGTTATTCTCGTTCTAATAATTTCCTCATAATTTGGCCAAAACTGTGTCGGGTTTGTGAAATCCAAAGGAGTTGTAATATTAGAAAGGTTTAGTTTCTTCTCCTTTCTCTTTCTGGCTTTTTTTGAAAGGTTTAGTTTTAGATTATTTGGTTCGGAATGATCCTTTAAATCATTATCCAATTCTTGGGATACTTTCTCATCACCATCGCTCACTATTGCATCATCTGTTGCTTTTGTTTCCATGTCAATATTACTTTGATATTTTAATAGCTGATCATTCATATCGGAAACCATTTGTAAATATTCCTCTATGGAAAGTCCCATCTCTTTCAAATCATTTTCATCAACTTGAATATCCATTTTTTTTTATTTATTTTAATATTAATTTAAAAAGGAAATTTCAAAATTAACTTTGTTACAAACAAAGATTACTAACTCGCGAAACAACATGCTGGAATCTTCTATTTCTTCAAGTAACCTCCTAATTTTTTATAAATAGTATCTCTGCATTCTGCATGGAACAGTTCCAAAATGCTTTAAATTTTCATCGAATTTCAAACTAATCTCTTCAACAAAACAAATAAAAATGGTCAATAAGAAACAACAACAAACAAACAATAATAACACTCAAGCAGCAGCTCAGCAACAACCTTTAACATTCCATAATTTCTGTGTTCACAAATTTGGTATTGGAAGGGAAACTACATCAAATGGTGCCCTAAGATTGAAAAGTTATGGAGATTGGGAATTAACAATTTACATGATTCCAATTGGTGAAAGATATGGTGTCCATTCACCTGAGGATTTCATTGCTAAATTCCTTGATGAAAATACTGTGAGAGATGATGAAAGAATGGAATTTGACAGTTTGGAGTTGCTGAAAATGTTAGAAATGATGCATCATGTTGAATTGGAGGAATTAAAACCTGCCAAATCCAAGATTAAAACATTTGAAGGATTACCTGTCAAGTTTGGAAAATGTATTATGACCAGAAATAGTGGAAACGATCAGTGCTTTGTTTGCATGAGTAATGGATACATTTACTATATTTGCTACGGAAGTTCGTAGATATAAATGGAAAATTAATAAATTATATTAATAAACAACCATAGATTGTTTACATACCTTCAACTCGACTGGTTTTAATACTTGGTGTAGGTGATGTGAAATTTAAATTAAAAACAGAAAAATTAATATCTTTATGATTTCAACCAATTAAAACGAAATAATTGGTGTTGCATCTACATTAATACTAATAACAGTTTATTAATGTTTCAAGATGATTGGTTGTGTACTTTTGGCATGAATCATGATTGGCGACCATGAATTTTCGGAAGTTGGTAAAACAACAAAATGATGAAAATCTGATAATAAATATATTGTTATTATGTATTTGAATAGTTGATGAAAGACATTTTCCAAGTTGGTGAAGTACATGTTGAGATATGGTTCAAAAATTATCATGATGATAATCAATAGGAAAATGGTAGGAAGTGATTTTACCTGATGAAATCGACCATGCTGAACAATACTAGATTGAAAGTTTTCCAAATTATCATATAAATCTGGCAGTGATGATGATTTTAGTGAAAATATTGAATTTCACTAAAATATTACTATTATCAGATTTATAGTCCACAAATATTACTATTATAATGATGGAAAATAACAATGATGATGGTTGGTAGTTGTTCCGATGCTGGTTTATCAACTTGAATTTTTCCAAATAATAAAATAATTTCCAAATCATGATGAAGGACTAAATTCCAAAAATTACTATTAATACTATTATTTAAATGATGATGAGATGATGTGGTGAAATTCTTGGAGTTAATAGATGTGAAACTACTCCAAGAATCAACAGAGTCGTGATGGACTGGTTGTTCCAATATTTTTGAAATTTTTCTTTACAAATTGAATTTTCAAAATTTCTGAGTTGGAGCTTCAGTGTCGTCAACTTTAAGGTACTGTGGTGGAACATGAAATTGAACATTCACATTGAACAACATGTTAAAATGCTTGTTTATTATTAATCACAATGCAAAAATCATTTAAAAAAAAATGCCAAAACACAATCCAAAGGAATATATCAAGGACAACTCTCACATGTCCTACATTCAGGATCAAGAGAGAAACAATCCGAATATTCACAGATATACAGAAATGATGTATTATGATTATTCCTATTTTTTGGATGTTATCCGAAGGGCTGTTCCTGTTGCATTGATTCTCTATTCGGAGGAGGAAAGGAAATTTATATTTCATACAAGTTTGAGAGAAGTTTGTCCGAGGAATAGTTTTCCTAGGTATATTCTTGTTCATTTGCAAGAGACTGAGGATTATAGAAGTCGTTCTAGATTCGGTTTGATTCGGTTAGGAAAATTGGGAAGTATTTTGGATAAATCAAAGTGTGTTCCATTGAAAATAATGGAAAATGTTAATGGAGAGATGGTGAGAAGAGATGATTCGTATTATGAAGGAGAACCTGTTATTTCAATTCAAGAATGTTCTAATTCTACTTGTTTAGAATTGGTTTATTCTGATTTTTATTGGTTAATGAGGTTGAAGATTGAATTGTGTCAGGAAGATATTGAAAATACTATGATTCATTCTAAACAAATTGGAGATACTTTAATTAGTGCTCATATTCCCTATAATGGCAATACAGCATTTGAATCAACATCAATCTCACCACAAATTAACAGAAATGGTAGAACAAATATTTTGTATAATAGTCAGTTTAGATATAATCCATATGGATTACAATCTAACATTTGCTTTTTCCAATATGAGAATGAGGTGCAAACAATTACTGACACCATTGAAGCTAAGGGTTGTGTAAGTGGACAATCCAGCTTGTTGGTCAATCAGAATAGTAATGACATCTTTATAATGAATTATGGTGGGAAAAAGCATGGATTTTACAAAGTAACACCATCAACAAAGATGGAATTTTCAGATTCAATAATTCCTCATCAAATTGACCAAGTTCCATTCGAAAATTATGATCAATTCATGCCATATGATGAGAATAATTCAGTCATTACATGTCCATTAACAGACACCAAATATTTGATATTCATTTCGACGAATACTCAACAAAGAACCACCACTTACCAAACTTTATTCACTAAGAGAATCATATGGTTACTAGTTGATTTGAATGAAAGAAGAGTTAAAAGAGTTTATCCAAGAGTTTATGATTTGGCCAACCTGACCAGTAAATCTGATGATTTTATTACAGTTAAGAAAAAGGTTAGAAGAGGTAGAATTGGAAATGATACTGTATTTCCAGATGGTGATTTGAATGGAGGTTATAGTGACCCAGCACTGCTCAGTGAAATCAAACCATCAAATATTCATTCAAGTGACTTGAAAGATTATGCAAATGGTTCCTCTTCTCTTTTTGAACCATTGATTGACCAAAAACCAACCTCACTAATTCCATACCCAGAAAAGTGCAAATTAGCCAATACCAAGCTTTTCTCATTTAGACCATTTCCAGAAAATCCAGAACTATTTCAAGTTCATTTCTGCTTTCCAGAAACTCATGTAATTCTCAATTATTTATTATCAACAGTAGAAAAGATCCACACACATGGACAAAGCTTTAGATTTTACTTTAAATTTAGAGATGAAGCCACCAAATATGCTAAGTTATTGATATTATCAAAGGAAAGACAATTCTCTGATATTTCAATAAAAACTCACTAAGTCTCGTCATTTCAATTTTCGTCCTCTAAATGAAATATTATTTGGACAGTTACTGATACATGTAATTCTTCAGAAATCAATTTTGGAATAAACAATAGAGAGCTTTGATTCAAGAGTTGATCAACCAAAGTCAGCAATTTTGGTGTTAAATTCATTGGATAGTAGAATATTTCCTGGTTTTAAATCTCTGCATTGATAAGTTCAAAATATTCGAAATCAACTGTTAATCATTATCCTTTCCACCATGTAAATAACTCATACCATACCATATGCAATTCCAATTCATATTTTTAAATTAATAAAAAAATGAAAGAAGACAAAGCTGGCAAATATGAAGGACAGAAAATTCGGAAGGTTTCAAATGAATCATCATACAGCACAACAGCGGTGATAAATTGCTTTCCGATAGAATTAGGAATTTTAGATGAAATTTGTAGCTTTTCCACTTTGGCTGATCAATGCTCATTGTATGCCACATGTAAATCAATACAAGATATTATGGATAGCAGTTGTAATTTTGAATATCATCATCATTCTAGGAAAAATGTTGTTTTAATGAAAAATGCATGTGATGAGTTTGATTCTGAAGTGGATAAGAGGAATTTCCTGTATGGTATTATTTATAGATTGAATGCTGAAATTGATTTCTGGAACAGCAATGAATTAATGGAGAGGAATCTTTTGCGGTCCATATTTTGTAAAGATGAAGCCAACACTGGAAATTCTTCTTTTTTTGCATATGTTTTAAAGTTTCCCAAAAGAGATTCAGATGAATGTGTATTGATTAATATCGACTTGACACATTTTCAATCTACAAATCTTAAAAAGATTGTGGTTTCTTGTAATGGCACAGTTCTTATTCATTTTGAAACAGTTGGCCAATCTAGAAATATAGTGTATGTCCAAAAACACGAAATAGATCAGGTATTTAGTGAAACTCTTTTTGGATCCAATAAGAATGTGAAAGAATTTATTACCACTCTTCTTCCAAGAGAGCATCATCAGAACATTGCATTTATCATTATGAAATATTTAAATGGAGGAACTGGCAGTATAGAGCTCAACAGGTTTGGATGGTGCACAAATGCGAATAGTATGAAAGGAATCAACTTTGGATCGCAAATGATTGAAAAGATAACTAACGTTGCATCAATCATTTCAATATTGGAATTCATTCAATCAAGTGCCAAAAACTTGTCCTGTATGAGAATAGCAGAGATCAACCAAAAGAAGAGAAAACCCTTACCTATTTCCAACGACATTACTCCATGTTCTAAAGTGGATGTCATTCGAGTTTTTAGGGGAGTAGAGTATTACGAAATGGTCGAATTTACACTCAAAATAAGGGGAAATCTTGAAGAACAGTTTGAATTTTTTTATTTGAAATACAAATGGGAATACTTTAATGGAGATAATCCATTCGTTGATGGAGATTTATCCTTATATTTCGACAATCCAAAAAATTCAAAAACACTCTATCTCACATTTGATACAAACTATCTCGAACAGATTGAGAAAATATTAGGTCATGGAACCAATGATGCTGAAGTGCTTGTGGATTTTTTGTTTCAATACCTAACGGGCTGTAGTAAGAAACTCTTTTACATTCGAGATTATTACTACAATCCAGGTACGGAAAGTGGAGCTAGTAGAAAGGCGTTCCAACTCGTTAATGGAATATCTAAAGATTTAGAGATTCTTTTTGCGGAGGATGTGCCACAAACTAATAATTGACTAACTTAAAGAATTATCTTGAATATTGCAAATCAGACTACTTTGCTGAAATTAAGAATTATTCATTGAATATGTCTAGTTAATAAATTACAACTATTCTAAAAAATAAATTGTAATATTTATTATCGTCTCTTGTATCGTAAAGACATGAGAGACGAGATCTACTACAATTGAGATGGAATGTAAACTATATTCTAAGGTATATTGGTTGACTGTAAGATACTGAGCCATCAATGTGAAACTTTCTCAGATTGTTCTCCTTATCAAGAGGAGTGTATTCATATTGGGTTTGGTTAGGAGAACCTCGGATACCTCTTACTCCAATCTCTTATTGATTTAAGATTTTGAAATTGTTTATTGTTGATACGAATCAGAAGCTTCTTATTGTGACAACACTTGATAGAAGAATGGGAAAGTGGTTGCATTAATTCAACATATTGAAAGTGAACAAGGTTGATTTGGAACTCTTCTTCATGAAGAGGAGGTTATTGGGTGGTGACTAGAGAGAAACATTTCCTTGTAGCTTTTCTACTAGTAAATGATTAATTGATCAAGATGTTGACCTATAATATGGAAACACAATAAAATTCAATAATACTGATAAATACAGTAGTGAATATGAATGGTAATCATATATCACTGAAAAAATCATGATTGTATCCATTTTGAGACTTTTGGAAGTCAACTTGGATGGCAATAGGGGAGCTTTTGATGTGGTTAACACTTTTAAAGGGATCTGAATATTTTATTGGATAATATATGTCATCGTTTTACTTTATCACTAAATGTTGAATATCATGATGTTATGACCTATATTTCCAATTTGAGAAATGTTGCAATGTCAATGTTTAATTGAAATATTGCGATCATACCAATAATTGATTATATATTATAAAACTGATATTATACACTATAATTGATATATATATGAATATATAATTGAAAGATTTGGTTTTAGACATTTATTAATGACGTGGGTAGTTCACTAAGGTAGTAACTTTGTCATATGATAACTATCTAAGATGATATTGAAATCATTCCAAAATTGATTCGATGAGAGTATTTGATGATTATAACATGATAGTATTGAATTGGTGTTGATTATTACCATTCATGACATGTAAGAATGTTACCTTTTTGTCAATTAGGACAGTAGCTTGACAGATAGTCCAATTATATAGATATTGATTTGTATCACTCAAATACGTTATGAATATCAATTATAAGAGTATTTGAATGATATTCTATCTTGTTGAACATCTTGATATTGACTTGTCATATTATCATGAGTAGTTAGTGACATGGTTAAATGGCATGAATACTGAATGATGTCCAAATGATACGAAATTGATAGAAACCTCATTATATGATGTTATTAACATATTGTATCAATTTGGTAATGAATCTCATTGTCCTTAGGGTACTTCCCTATTGAGGTACCTTAATTGACCATCTCTATATTTAAATTGAGATATGATATTTATTTCAATTGTATCATCATTTTGTAACTGATGGATAAGTAGCCAAGTTGTGTATGGTGCAGAATTGGTATAACATTATTTTCAACATTTACAAGTGCCATTTCTCATCATCTGTTGGACCAAAACAAAAAATTTTGTTATAGGTGGTTTTTTTACTAATATCCACATGTACAATATCAGAACAAGGAGATGCTCTATAGTTGTGCAGAATCATTCCACCAACAATAAGTTTTTGAAATATTCTTTTCTTAGTGAACTTTGCTTGCATCATAATTATTAAGGAATTGTTTCAAGTAGATGGAAAGTGTTCTAAAATTGCTGTAGATGGTAACATTCCGTTACAGCATAGTTAAATTCTAAGAAATGATTGAGATTTGCCATTTTTTCACAACTGTAATCTTTAAAACAATGGTTGTTATCCAACCCGATGTAAAAACTGTTTGAAATTGTTTCAAATGAGCTTGGAGTGGCTCAAACCCGTTGCTTCTTTTCAAAAAAGAGACTTATCCAACCTTTTGAATGAGAATGTATTAACTATACAACAAACTGAAATTTATTTTTTCTTACTGAACTTTTCTTACTTCACAATTATTAAGGAATTGTTTCAAGTAGATGGAAAATGTTCCAAAATCGATGGAAATGGTGGCAGTCCTTTAAAGTGTACTTAAATTCTCAATAATGATTGAGATCAGTCTATTTTTCACAACTGTAATCTTTAAAACAGTGGTTGTCATCCAACCCGATGTAAAAACTTTTTGAAAATGTTTCAAATGAGCTTGGAGTTGCTCAAACCCGTTGCTTCTTCTCAAAAGAGTGACTTATTCAACCTTTAGGTGGGGATTGTACAATACTGTTCAACAAATTAACATTGTCTTTTCTTAGTGAACTTTTCCTTCATCCTAATTATTAAGGAATTTTTACAAGTCGATGGAAAATGTTCAAAACTGGCTATAGATGGTATAATTCCATTGAACTATACTCAAATTCTTAATAATGATTGAGATTAGTCGATTTTTCACAACTGTTATCTTTGAAACAGTGATTTCATCCAACCACTCTTTACTAACAACTCCATGGACTGGCTCAAACCCGTTGTAAAATTAAATTAAACTTTCTTAAATGAGCTTGGTGTGGCTCAAACCCGGTGTGCTTACGTAA